CCGCTACACCATTTTGCTGCGGAGTCCTAGGAATTGTCAATTGCCTGATAACTCCTTTTTCCTCACAGAGAACTTTAAATTGCTCAGATAGATACTCACGTCCCCAATCAGTCCTTAGAGCCTTAATGCTCTTGTCTAATTGATTCTCAACCTCATTAACATACTGTCTAAAGCAATCCAATGCTTCTGGCTTGTGAGAAATCAAATAGACATAACCAAAACGTGTGCAATCATCTATAAATGTGATGAAATAAGGGGCTTCATGTCTTGCCCTCACATTCATTGGTCCACATATATCAGAATGAATAAATTATAATGGCATAGATGCCCTTATGGCTTTCCCAAATGGTTTCCTTGTTGCTTTTCCAGCAAGACAGTGCTCACAAGTAGGAAAAGTGACTCTAGTGAGTCGGTCTAAAAGACCTTTTCTAGCCAATCTAGTCATTCTGTCTTACCCTATGTGGCCTAATCTAGCATGTCATCGCATAGAATCATTATCACAAAAAGATGCAATATTAGAAACAGAGCCATTGGCATTTTTATTAAAACTAGAATTGTGAAAACCCCACATTTAATTATTCTTAAAAAGAAAATAAATAAATAAATAAATTAATTAATTTTATCTACTGTCTATCTGAATTATATATTAGTGTAAAAGTTAGTTTTAAATTGGCCTAATTCAATCACTAACAAAGACATTATTAAGAATAATAATTTTGTGGGTGTTCAATATTTGTTGTTTATAAATTATTTTAATTATGATTCAATATGATAATTATTCTTACTAAATACCTTAGTTAAAAATCTTAGCGTATTAATTTTCAGAAACCCACACAAATACAAAAAAAAAAAAAGAAAAAAAAAGAAGGGGGAATCAAACCTTTGCAATTATTCTTAAAAGAAAATAAATAAATAAATAAATTAATTAATTTTATCTACTGTCTATCTGAATTGTATATTAGTGTAAAAGTTAATTTTAAATTGGCCCAATTCAATCACAAACAAAGACATTATTAAGAATAATAATTTTGTGGGTGTTCAATATTTGTTGTTTATAAATTATTTTAATTATGATTCAATATGATAATTATTCTTACTAAATACCTTAGTTAAAAATCTTAGTGTATCAATTTTCAGAAACTCACACAAATACACACACAAAAAATAAAATAAAAATAAATAAAAAAAAACAAACCTTTGTAGATTTTGGTGGCAACTTTCCACATGTTGGTTTGCATGTTTGTTTAGGGAAGAAGAGCTCATTATGCTCTTGGAATTAAGGGAAAGAAAGCTTAGAAAATGAAGAGAAAGAGAGAGAGAGAGAGAGAGAGAGAGAGAGAGAGAGAGAGAGATGTGCTCAACAAGCATTGTGTATATGTATGCATGCAAGCCTTCATTGTATATAGGTATGCATGCAAGCATTCGGTGAAAAAAAAAAAGAAGAGAGAAATCCTTGAAGCAACTAAGCTTAGTAATAGGAGAGGAAGAAGAGTAGGAGATTAAGGAAGCCAAAATTCTCAACCATTTTGTCATCCTATTACTAAGTAAGAAAACCCTCTCAAACTTCTCTCTTTTTTTTTTTTTTTATATTTGAAATTTTCAGATTATATACATATGATAAATTGTCTAAACTTGTAGATATGATTTTATTGTATAAAATTTTATGATGGTATATTAAATATTGGTAGTCTAAAAATCATATTGTGGAATTTGGACTTGCATGTGTAGTTTATGCCATTAAAAAGATTATTGAAGATGTTATTTGGCCCTTTAAATCTGCTAGAAAATTGTACAAATTTTTAGACAATTTTATACTCAAAATTTGAAGATTATTTCTTCTACAAATTTGTTGATAATGATGTCTCGTTCATCCATAAAATTTTTCAACAATTATTGAGTTTTTTACGAATTTATACATATTTTTAATCAAATCTGGAGCTATAGGCAGATTTTATTATGTGTTTGAAAAATCATTAAAATTTTTATATTAAACCAAATCTAATAATTTCTAAGAAAAAAATTAAATTTGAGAAGTCTAGTTTTATAATAAATTTTTAGATCATGGAATTGATTCATAAATTTAAGTATGAAATTAATTTAAGAAAATGTGATAAATCTATGTCATAAACACTCTTGGAATTTTTAAGAATTATTTATAATTTATTTTTGGAAAATGCTTTCTGAAAAATGACAATAACATGTTTATTGAGTATTCTGTAGATTTATATGAATTTTAGAGTTGTATAAGTAATTTATTAATAATTGTATTTGCAAGATATACATTCTGAAAATTTTGACAGATTAAGGAGGAATCAAAAACTATCTCTTAAATTGTTTATTTATAACTTATTTTTGGGAAATTCTTTCTGAAAAATGACCTAAACATATTTATTGAATATTCTGTACATTTTCACGAATTTTAGAACTGTATAAATAAGTTATTTATAATTTTTATTACCTAATTAAGGTATAACCTGAAAATTTCTGGACAGATTTAAGATCATCACTTCATTATTTATTTGGATAAAAAAATCAGTTATTGTGTTCGTCTAATTCATCAAATATTGTAAATCAGTAATCCATGTATGGGTGTATTGTGGTTTATTTAATATTGTGCTAGTTTAATCTTATAGATTAAAAGTCCATGCATGTGTGTAATTATGATTTATTTCTTCTTTTTTTGGTATCTACATTATTATTTCATACCATAGTTTAAATAAATTATTTATTTAAATTTTGTACAATTGTTTATTATTGTGTGACATATGTAATATTTTATGTTGGGATTCTAATGAGTTGGTATAACATTATTGGTAATTAAATTTTAAATTTTTGTGAATATCTGAACAAGTAAAGAAACACGAAATTTAACCAATGATGCATTAAAATGTAAAAGTGATGGGGTGAGCCCGGTTTAGAATCTTGTTCAAGTGAGTTGCGAACCCTAACATGGCACAGGAAGATATTTCGGCTCTTATCGGTGTAGGCGATATAAGGTTGGTGGTGCGGGTGTCACAACATAGACCGTTCCCTTGGGGCAGACCGTGATGTCACGACTCGGGTACGTAACTCTGGTAGTGGGCATCATTGGTAGTTACAGTAAGTAACATTTAAATATTTGACCAAGGGGGAGTCAGAATTGGCCGTGGCCATTGCTTAGTGGTTGAATGGAAATAGTGCTCCGTGGGGAGTTACTAAATTTATCTGATAAACTAAATCTATGAAAATTAAAAAAAAAATGTGGACATATTCCTTATGATGAAATATTGTTTCCGTTTGTTATATTTTTATTTGATTTATTATTATTTATTGTTATTATTTCAACTGATAACATTTATTTTATGCTTACTAAATGTTACTGGCTATTCTGTTATTACACATTATTCATGAATTGTGAGTATTATTATCGGGGTGGGCATTTTCGGGTTGTAGTATCTTATTGAGCTCGTCGCTCACTGGCATTCCCGTTGCCCTGGCGTTTTATGCCAGGTACCGAAGAAACCGAAACAGACACCGAGGCCTTGCAAGACAACACTCAGCCTTGGTTAGCTTGAAGAGTGCCCAAGTTCCATGAACCATTTCCTAAAAATTCTAGTTTTTCTCTAGTTTTCTTTTTATATTTGTGTCATTTCGGTTATGTACTAAGACTAAGTTGTGATGTAAGAACTTTAAATTTTGGGTTGTTAATTAATGGATGTTAGTAATCTTGGTGGCAATATTGATTTTAAGTTTCTTAATCTTATTATGATGTCCTTAAATTTGGGGCATCACAGCATGGTATCAGAGCTTAGGTTGAGAAACCCTTGAGACTTTGGGAAACCCTAAGCTTGCTTGTTAAATAACTTATTAGTGGTTATAGTGAGCATTTTTAGTTACTAGGTAAAATTTTGATTTTTGTAGATGGCAAACGAAAATCAAAATGGATGGTTGGAGGAAGAACCTGAGATGTTAGATGAGTCTATTGACTGGGAAGAGGATCCAGAGGAGGACCCAGAGGAAGGGCTAGAAGAGAACTTGGAATTCGATGAAGAACTTGAGATGTTAGATGAGCCTAGTGACTGGGAAGAGGATCCAGAGGAGGACCTAGAAGAAGAGCCAGAAGAGAACTTGGAGGAAGAGTTCGAAGTAGGAGTTGAGGGTGACTCCGATCCTGAGTCTGACTCTGATCAGGAAATGGTGGAGTCTGATCCTGAATCCTCGATAGAGGACGGCCCTGAGGCGGCCTTGAGGCATATAATGGTGCCACCCGTCCTACCATATGGAAATGCAGTATTTGTGAGGGTTACCCCTACTAGGATGTGCTATTGGAGGAGCTCACCTAGAAAAGATATGTTTATCGGGCCAGGCCAGATAAAAGAATATCTGGACAATAATTTCTATCGAGTATGGAACCAACCTCCGCAATACGTCGCAAACAAGGGCGATGTGTTTCTACTACAAGATATCCGGACTGCCCATCCTCTTTTCGGTCACGTTGTCCGAACCCTAGACCCATTGGTGAATTTTTATAGAGCTGCCACGTATCACGAGATTCCTACTTGCATGATTAGGCAAATGGTGGGTCAGAATGGGGTACGGATGGTCCTTGTCCGCTGGGAGTGTTATGGGCTACCCGATGAGGCATGGGAATTTGAGAAAACAGTGTGTCAACGTTGTGCCTATTTGCTTAGTTAGGAAATGACAAGTGTAGAAGTTAGGACAACAACAAATTTTGTAGCACTTAATTGTAATAGTCCTAGCTTCTAACTTAGGGTTTTTGGTTTAAAAAAAAAAAAATGAAGTAGGCAGGGGTAGAATGAATTTTTTTTTTCGTGTTTTCCTTTTTCTTTTATGAATGTACTGATTTTTTATTATCATTAATGAAATCCTAGTATTTAAAAGTTTGTGTGTTGGACTATTTTGCTAGCATTTTATTTTTAAGCAAAATAAAAATAATAATAATAATGATTTAAATAAATAAATAAATAAAGGGTGTAATAATAATATTCTTCGTACAGAAGATGGCAGGAAGAACTAGAGCAAATGGATCCAATGACAACAACAACAGTGACGTTATGAATTTTGTTCGGGCAATTACTAATGAACTAAGAAACCAACCCAAGCGTGAAAACAACAAAGGAGAATTAATAGTGAAATTTCAAAAAATCAGGCCCCAAGCATTTTCCGGAGAACCCAATCCCTACGTGGCTGAGGCATGGATAAGGCAAGTGAAAAAAATATTGGAGACACTAGAGATTCAGAACGAGCAGGACCAAATGTCCCTTGCTTCATTTCTTTTTGACGGGGAGGCCGATTTCTGGTGGACAATGATTAAGGAAAGCCGTCAGGTGGCAGACCTCTCTTGGAGACAATTCGAGGAATTATTTATGGAAAAGTACTTCCCAAACTCAGTAAGGCAGGAGATGATCCAAGAATTTCTCCAACTGAAACAAAGAGGCATGACTGTGACACAGTATGCCAATCGATTTGAGGCCCTTTCTCGCCATGCCAAGCTATAGTGGCAAATGAAACAGACAAGGTAAGGCGTTTTGAGTGGGGACTCAACTCGGGACTTCGAGACAAGTTGGTCGCAGTGCAGCTACCTACTTATGCACAAGTAGTAGATAGGACTGCCCATCCTCTTTTCGGTCACGTTGTCCGAACCCTAGACCCATTGGTGAATTTTTATAGAGCTGCCACGTATCACGAGATTCCTACCTGGGTGATTAGGCAAATGGTGGGTCAGAATGGGGTACGGATGGTCCTTGTCCGCTAGGAGTGTTATGGGCTACCCAATGAGGCATGGGAATTTGAGAAAACAGTGCGTCAACGTTGTGCCTATTTGCTTAGTTAGGAAATGACAAGTGTAGAAGTTAGGACAACAACAAATTTTGTAGCACTTAATTGTAATAGTCCTAGCTTCTAACTTAGGGTTTTTGGTTTAAAAAAAAAAAAATGAAGTAGGCAGGGGTAGAATGAATTTTTTTTTTCGTGTTTTCCTTTTTCTTTTATGAATGTACTGATTTTTTATTATCATTAATGAAATCCTAGTATTTAAAAGTTTGTGTGTTGGACTATTTTGCTAGCATTTTATTTTTAAGCAAAATAAAAATAATAATAATAATGATTTAAATAAATAAATAAATAAAGGGTGTAACAATAATATTCTTCATACAGAAGATGGCAGGAAGAACTAGAGCAAATGGATCCAATGATAACAACAACAGTGACGTTATGAATTTTGTTCGGGCAATTACTAATGAACTAAGAAACCAACCCAGGCGTGAAAATAACAAAGAAGAATTAATAGCGAAATTTCAAAAACTCAGGCCCCAAACATTTTCCGGAGAACCCAATCCCTATGTGGCTGAGGCATGGATAAGGCAAGTGAAAAAAATATTAGAGACACTGGAGATTCAGAACGAGCAGGACCAAATGTCCCTTGCTTTATTTCTCTTTGACGGGGAGGCCGATTTCTGGTGGACAATGATTAAGGAAAGCCGTCAGGTGGCAGACCTCTCTTAGAGACAATTCGAGGAATTGTTTATGGAAAAGTACTTCCCAAACTCAGTAAGACAGGAGATGATCCAAGAATTTCTCCAACTGAAACAAAGAGGCATGACTGTGACACAGTATGCCAATTGATTTGAGGCCCTTTCTCGCCATGCCATAGCTATAGTGGCAAATGAAACAGATAAGGTAAGGCGCTTCGATTGGGGACTCGACTCGGGGATCCGAGACAAGCTGGTTGCAATGCATCTACCTATTTATGCACAGGTAGTAGATATGGCTCTTACCTTAGAAAGAGAAAAGATGGTCACTGCAAGGACTCAAGGTCAGCAGTCTAGAGCCAACCAGCCAAGAAGTGGATGACCCTCAAGGAACAACAGGACCCCTGCTGCCTCGGCACCTTATGCTAGGGGGCCACAACAACAGCAAGGGTACAATCCCTAGAATGTGTTATGAATGTGGCCAAGAAGGGCATTTTAGGAACAATTGCCCTCAGAGGTCAGGCTACTACATCAATCAAGGGGAGGCCACTCAACGAAACAAATGTATACCAACTCAGGGAACACGAGCTGCGCAAAATTCCCAATCTGGCAGAGGTTAGCAGCCAGCTAATCGGAATGTGCGGCAATCAAGGACTCAACAACCAGGAGATGCCAATGCAAGGAAACCTTGGGTGCCAAACTAGGGTGCCACCGGAAAAGTCTTTGCACTCCAAGAAGGAGAAGACGATGGAAATCCTTCAATGATTCGAGGTATACTCATCCTTATGAACTCTTGTGTACAAGTCTTGTTTGATTCTGGAGCATCACACTCTTTAATATCTACTTCATGTGTTAACTTTGGGATTAAAGCCTGAACAATTAGAAACACCTATAAGTGTAGCTTCACCGCTAGGAGGTCAAACTCGAGTAGATCTCGTATGCAAATCATGTGAACTAGGAGTCTCTAGCTTACATTTAACTTACGACCTACGAGTCATGGAAATGTCAGATTTTGACGTTATCCTAGGAATGGACTGGTTATCAGCCCATAGAGCCACCATTGATTGCTATCGAAAGACGGTGACTGCTTACTCTCAGGATGGAACGCGATTCCAATTTAAGGAGGATAAACAAGATTCCCTATCACTAACATTTGGAAAGTCAAAGTGGCATGATCACCTAGCTGGGTGGCTAGCCAGCTTAGTTCTGGAAGACAAAGATCGTATGGAACTAGGGCTACCTCGTGTGGTGTGCGAGTATACTGATGTGTTTCTAGAGGAGTTACCAAGACTACCCCCAAAACGGGAAGTGGACTTTACCATTGAACTACAACCTGGTACATCACCGATCTCAATGGCACCACATCGTATGACACCAGCTGAATTGAGAGAGCTAAAGACACAGTTGCAAGAATTGTTGGACAAGGAATTTATAAGGCCAAGCACGTCCCCGTGGGGAGCACCGGTCTTATTTGCTAAAAAGAAAGACGGGACACTTAGGTTGTGCATTGATTACCGACAACTCAATAGAGTCACCATTAAGAATCGGTACCTACTACCTAGAATTGATGACCTTTTCGATCAACTTAGAGGGGCAAAGTATTTCTCAAAGATAGACCTCAAGTTTGGGGATCACCAATTGCGTGTTAGGGAAGAAGATATTCTTAAGACTGTGTTTCGAACCCGTTACGTCCACTATGAATTCGTATTGATGCCATTCGGCCTAACCAATGCACCGGGCGTGTTCATGAGCTTAATGAACAAAATATTCACGCCTTACTTAGATCAATTTGTGGTAGTTTCAAAGATGATATTTTGGTGTACTCCAAGTCTGAAGGAGACCATGAACAACATTTGAGAATAGTACTTCAAACTTTGAGAAAGAACCAATTGTATGCTAAGGCTAGTAAATGTGAGTTCTGGATGAGGGAAGTAAAGTTTTTGGGTCACGTGGTATCTGAAAAGGGAATATCAGTAGACCCAACTAAAGTAGAAGCAGTGACAGAATGGAAGCAACCTAAGAACACATTTGAGATTCATAGTTTCTTAGGATTGGCCGGTTACTATCGAAGATTCATTCAAGACTTTTCAAAATTGGCCAAACCAATGACACATTTGACTCAAAAGGGGGTAAAGTTTGAATGGAACGAGTCTTGTGAAAATTCATTCCAAGAACTCAAGAAAAGATTGACGAGTGCCCCTATTCTCATAGTGCCAGAACATGACGTTGGGTACAACGTATATTGTGATGCTTCTAAAGAAGGTCTAGGGTGCGTATTGATGCAGAATGGCAAGGTGGTGGCATATGGATCAAGGTAATTAAAGAACCATGAAAAGAATTATCCCACCCATGACCTGGAGTTAGCAGCTATAGTTCACGCACTCAAAATTTGGAGACACTACCTGTATGGTGAAAAGTTTGAGATATTCACCGATCACAAAAGCTTGAAGTATCTGTTCACCCAAAGGTATTTAAACATGTGTCAGAGACGTTAGATAGAGTATCTCGAGGATTATCAATTTACCATTTTCTATCATCCTGGCAAGGCTAACGTGGTGGTAGATGTCCTAAGTCGCAAGAATAGAGAGATTGTTGCTAGTTTAGCACTTAGAGAATGGAATATGGTTGGAACGCTCAATGAATTTGGGGTACAATTGGGGGTTCAAGATGAAGAGGCTTACCTTGGTGTTTAGATTGCTACGCCTAAAATTGCGAGCGAGATATTGGAATCACAAAAGTACGATCAAGAGGTAGCATTCATCAAGGCACAAATGGAATCTAGTGAAGCCATGCTTGGTTGGGAAATTCACACTGATGGGAGTTTAAAATATCAAGGTCGAATGTTCGTGCCAAGCGACAACTCACTAAGGGAAAAGGTACTCAAGGAATTCCACCATTCAATGTTCGCAGTACATCCGGGAGGTACTAAGATGTACCAAGACTTAAAACGCCAATATTGGTGGGGCAGAATGAAAAGGGATGTAGCAAGTTTGTGTCTCATTGCCTGACATGTCAACAAGTAAAGACTGAACATCAAAGGTCGGCAGGAACACTTCAACCCTCACCAATTCCGGAGTGGAAATGGGAACACATAACCATGGATTTTGTGACGGGTTTGCCTCGGTCACCACAGGGACATGACGGCGTGTGGGTGGTAGTAGACCGATTAACTAAGACAGCCCGATTTTTACCTGTCAGGTCATTAGATACGTTGGATTCACTCAGTAGATTGTTCATCAAAGAAGTGATCAGATTACACTGAGTGCCGGTTAGCATCGTGTCTGATCGTGATCCTCGATTCATTTCTTAATTTTGGCAGAGCTTACAGAAGGCAAGGGGAACAAACCTATGCTTGAGCACAGCATTCCACCCACAAACCGATGGGCAGTCTGAAAGGACGATACAAACCTTGGAGGATATGCTTCGAGCTTGCGTTATGGATTTTAAGGGAAGTTGGGAGAAACATCTGCCTCTCGTTGAGTTCGCTTACAACAATAGTTTCCAAGCCAGTATTGGAATGGCACCGTATGAAGCACTTTATGGGCGACCTTGTCCTTCACCAGTCTGTTGGACTGAAGTAGGGGAAGTAACCTTGTTAGGACCAGACTTGGTTCAGGAGACCACTGAAAAGATAAAACTGATCAAACAACGGCTAACCACAGCCCAAAGTCGACAAAAGAGCTATGCGGATCAAAGGAGACGACCCTTAACATTTGAAGTAGGGGATCATGTTTTTCTCAAAGTTCAACCTCGTCGAGGTGCTACACGATTTGGGAAGAAAGGGAAACTTGCACCTCAGTGTGTGGGACCCTTCGAAATCCTGAGCAAAGTAGGAGAAGTGGCATACCGTTTGGCTTTATCACCTCAACTGGCTGGAGTACATAATGTTTTTCACATCTCTATGCTACGAAAATACGAGCCACACCCTTCTCACATCATCAATTGGGAGGAAATTAATCTTGATGAAGATGTGACATTTGAAGAGAAGCCTGTCAAGATTTTAGATCGTTGCGAGAAGAAATTACGAGGTAAAACCATACCATTGGTTCGAGTTCTTTGGAGACATCGTGGGACGGAAGAGTCAATGTGGGAACGAGAAGATATGATACGTGCCAATTACCCTCACATTTTTTAGTCTAAAGGTACGAATTAATTTCGAGGACGAAATTTTCCTTTTAGGAGGGTAGATTGTGAAAACCCCACATTTAATTATTCTTAAAAAAAAAAAAAAGAAAATTAATTAATTTTATCTACAGTCTATTTAAATTGTATATTAGTGTAAAAGTTAGTTTTAAATTGACCCAATTCAATCACTAACAAAGATATTATTAAGAATAATAATTTTGTGGGTGTTCAATATTTGTTGTTTATAAATTATTTTAATTAGGATTCAATATGATAATTATTCTTACTAAATACCTTAGTTAAAAATCTTAGTGTATCAATTTTCAGAAACCCACTAAATAAAAAAAAAAAAAAGAAAAAAAAAGAAAGGGGAATCAAACCTTTGCAGAAATTCGATGGAGGCTTTTCACATGTTGGTTTGCATGCTTGTTTAGGAAGAAGAGCTGATTATGCCTCTTGGAATTGAGGAAAGAGAACTTAGAATGAAGAGAAAGAAAGAGAGAGAGAGAGAGAGAGATGCGCTCAACAAGCATTGTATATATATGTGCATGCAAGCCTTCATTGTATATAGGTGTACATGCAAGCATTCGGTGGAAAAAAAAAAAGAAAAAAAAAGAGAAATCCCTGAAGCAACCAAGCTTAGTAATAGGAGAGGAAGAAGAGTAGGAGATTAAGAAAGCCAAAATTCTCAACCATTTTGTCATCCTATTACTAAGTAAGAAAACCCTCTCAACCTTCTCTTCTTTTTTCTTTTTCTTTTTTTTATATTTGAAATTTTCAGATTATATATATATGATAAATTGTCTAAACTTGTACATAGGATTTTATTGTATAAAATTTTATGATGGTATATTAAATATTGGTAGTCTTAGTGATAGGAGAGGAAGAAGAGTAGGAGATTAAGAAAGCCAAAATTCTCAACCATTTTGTCATCCTATTACTAAGTAAGAAAACCCTCTCAACCTTCTCTTCTTTTTTCTTTTTTTTTATATTTGAAATTTTCAGATTATATACATATGATAAATTGTCTAAACTTGTACATAGGATTTTATTGTATAAAATTTTATGATGGTATATTAAATATTGGTAATCTCAAAATCATATTGTGGAATTTGGACTTGCATGTGTAGTTTATGTCATTAAAAAGATTATTGAAGATGTTATTGGCCCTCTAAATCTTCCAGAAAGTTGTACGAATTTTTAGACAATTTTATACTCAAAATTTGAAGATTATTTCTTCTACAAAGTTGTTGATAATGATGTCTAGTTCATCCATAAATGTTTTTAACAATTATTGAGTTTTTTACGAATTTATACATATTTTTAATCAAATCTGGAGCTATAGACAGATTTTATTATGTGTTTGAAAAATCATTAAAATTTTTATATTAAATCAAATCTGATAATTTCTAAGAAAAAAATTAAATTTGAGAAGTCTAGTTTCATAATAAATTTTTAGATCATGGAATTGATTTATAAATTTAAGTATGGAATTAATTTTAAAAAATGTGATAAATCTATGTCATAAACACTCTTGGAATTTTTAAGAATTATTTATAATTTATTTTTCGAAAATGCTTTCTTAAAAATGACAATAACATGTTTATTGAGTATTCTGCAGATTTATATGAATTTTAGAGTTGTATAAGTAATTTATTTATAATTGTATTTGCAAGATATACATTCTGAAAATTTTGACAGATTAAGGAGGAATCGAAAACTATCTCTTCAATTGTTTATTTATAACTTATTTTTGGGAAATTCTTTCTGAAAAATGACCTAAACATATTTATTGAATATTCTGTACATTTTCACGAATTTTAGAACTGTATAAATAAGTTATTTATAATTTTTATTACCTAATTAAGGTATAACCTGAAAATTTCTAGACAGATTTAAGATCATCACTTCATTATTTATTTGGATAAAAAAATCAGTTATTGTGTTGGTCTAATTCATCAAATATTGTAAATCAGTAATTCATGTATGGGTGTATTGTGGTTTATTTAATATTGTGCTAGTTTAATCTTATAGATTAAAAGTCCATGCATGTGTGTAATTATGATTTATTTCTTCTTTTTTTGGTATCTACATTATTATTTCATACCATAGTTTAAATAAATTGTTTATTTAAATTTTGTACAATTGTTTATTATTGTGTGACATATGTAATATTTTATGTTGGGATTCTAATGAGTTGGTATAACATTATTGGTAATTAAATTTTGAATTTTTGTGAATATCTCAACAAGTAAAGAAACACGAAATTTAACCAATGATACATTAAAATGTAAAAGTGATGGGGTGAGCCCGGTTTAGAATCTTGCGCAAGTGAGTTGCGAACCCTAACATGGCACGAGAAGGTATTCCGGCTGTTATTGGTGTAGGCGATATAAGGTTGGTGGTGTGGGTGTCATAACATAGACCGTTCCCTTGGGGCAGACCGTGATGTCACGACTCGGGTACATAACTCTAGTACGTGGGCATCACTGGTAGTTACAGTAAGTAACATTTAAATATTTGACCAAGGGGGAGTCAGAATTGGCCGTGGCCATTGCTTAGTGGTTGAATGGAAATAGTGCTCCGCGAGGAGTTACTAAATTTATCTGATAAACTAAATCTATGAAAATTAAAAAAAAAAAATGTGGACATATTCTTTATGATGAAATATTGTTTCCGTTTGTTATATTTTTATTTGATTTATTATTATTTATTGTTATTATTTCAACTGATAACATTTATTTTATGCTTACTAAATGTTACTGGCTATTCTGTTATTACACATTATTCATGAATTGTGAGTATTATTATCGGGGTGGGCATTTTCGGGTTGTAGTATCTTATTGAGCTCGTCGCTCACTGGCATTCTCGTTGCCTTGGTGTTTTATGCCAGGTACCGAAGAAACCGAATGAGACACTAAGGCCTTGTAAGGCGACACTCAACCTTGGTTAGCTTGAAGAGTGCCCAAGTTCCATGAACCATTTCCTAAAAATTCTAGTTTTTCTCTTGTTTTCTTTTTATATTTGTGTCATTTCGGTTATGTACTCAGACTAAGTTGTGATGTAAGAACTTTAAATTCTGGGTTATTAATTAATGGATGTTAGTAATCTTGGTGGCAATATTGATTTTAAGTTTCTAAATCTTATTATGATGTCCTTAAATTTGGGGCGTCACAAGAATCATCCACATCCAAAACTAAAAAGCCATCTGAAAGATAACCAAAATCATAAAAAACTGTTCCCAAATAAATGCTAACACCATTTTTCTCAAAACAAAAACTAAAACCAAGGCTCATCATGCTAATAATTGAAACCAAGTTTCGCCGAATATCCGGAGCATAAAGAACATCATGAAGATACAAGGTGCGCCCTTGTCGCATTTCCAGCTTGTATGTGCCAATGCCAAGCCTCCACACTGGACTCGTTCCCTATGTAAACTTTTCTGCTCCCAGCAGGTACTTGGCGATACTCAACGAACCCTACTCTGTCCCTCGCGATGTGGTCTGTTGCTCTGGAATCTACAACCCAAAAATTAGGAGAATGAGCAATTAATGCTTGACTAGAAACAAAGCATTGAATGCGAGAAATTAAGTAAGGGAGTACCTTCTTCTGCTCAGGGCAATCCCGAGCGAGGTGTCCTTCTTTGTTACAGTTAAAGCATGTCAATTTAGCATTTACTTTCTTGGCACCTCTCTTGTCCCTACGCTTGAAATTTCTAGCACTATTGGGCTTTAGCGCAGCTGCTGCATGCTTCTTAGAGGCACCTTTTGCTTTTCCATGTTTGAATTGAAAAGTCCTGCGTGAGCTCGACTCAACCACCATAGCAAAACCATTAGACTTAGCCGCCTCAAGGCGCTCAGCCTCTAGCTTCAAATGGCGCGATATGTCTTCGAATGTTTTCACACTCTCATTACGCATCATGTTCTACTTCATCTGCTCACAAGAATTTGGTAGAGAGTGAATCATAGCTTGTACTTGCTGTTCTTGAGTCAAATTGTGCCCAGCAGCCGCAAGCTCACGCATCGTGGCTGACATGACCCTCAAATGTCACGACCCGAACCCGCCCCCGTGGGTTAAAGATATAACCGGCCAGTAATCATGAGATTATCTATGGCCTCGAACCAAGACAAATGTATTTTAACAGAGTTAATGGGGGCCAAACGGAAGCAGTTCAAAAACTTTGTCTATAGAGCTGTGCTTACATGGCACATCCAAGCAACCAAACATATATACATTAATAACTCACAACAGAAATGTAGTAGCATAAGTTCCATACAAACAGGATCATTCAAAAACTAAGTCAACCCATGAAAACTATATACAACATAAAACAAAATGACAAAAGCGAAGGCGAGTCTCATGCGTGAGACACATGGGCTAACTCTCCAAAACTCGGTTGTTCCACACAGACTTCACTGGGGTTGGGTCTGGACCTCTCTTGGCTCACCTACAAACACATGAATGAGCGTGAGCGATAGCCCAGTGAATAATATCAAAAGAAGAATATACATTGGAACAATATACATCAAACGGCCTTGGGCCCAATTTATATTTCTACTAATACATACATACACATATGTAAGTTAAGTAACTGCGGTTCCAAACACATCATACGGCCTCGGGCCCAATTCATTAGTGTCAAATTGTTATTCGTGTCAAACTGGCCTTTGGCTTTTTCAAACTTCCATATCAAACTGGCCTATAGGCCTTTCAAACTTTCATATCAAATTGGCCTTTAGGCCTTTCAAACTTTCATTCATGTCAAACTGGCCTCTGGCCCATTCATGCATGTCAAACTGGCCTTTGCCCTTTTCAAACTCAAACTGGCCTTTAGGCCTTTCAAACTTTCCAATCAGACTGGCCTTTAGGCCTTCCAAACTTTCGCATCAAACTGGCCTTTAGGCCTTTCAAACTTTGTCCACCATTCGAATTAATGAACTTTACAAAACTTACATAGAAGTAAGCAATTGGATAATAACATATTTCAAATATTACTCATAGTGATCAGCT